TATATATATATATATATATGATAACTTTATAAATACCTATTATATCTTGGAAATAATCTTGAACAATATTAAAATACATTTTAAAAAATTAATAAGATGGCTTGAATATTGTTCACGAGACTCAACTTAGCTTTAGCCGAAATTGAAATCCTTGTTTATGCTGGCCCACTCATACTCAACTTGATATAATTCCTACATGTAATTAAGCATAGAAATATCTTTTTAAGGAAAGCATATAAAGATCTTTACAATAAAGTTGCCAAGTGGCATATTCTTGGTAGAAGTTCATTCATATTAGCTTTAACAAAGGAGAATATATCTATAAGGAACTTAGTGTATTTTATGATTGTTTTCATCAAAATTATAATCACACTCTTAAGGGTCTATTTGAGGCATATTTTACATAGTTTTCTTTCCATAAAGTCACAACAATTTTATTTAGATAAAGCTTTTCCGCTGGTTTTAGCAACTTTTATAATGAGATCAACCTTTCAAAATCAAATTTGCTAGTGTAGTATCTGTGAGAAAACTACTTCCCAACTATTTCATAAAAAAAATAACATCCACAATAATTTTTAAGAAATTGTTTTTTCCCCATAGCAATTCTGTAACTATTTTAACAAATAGATGTAGCTGCCTCAAATGGATCCAATATTTGGAAGAAAATGAACTGTTGGTATAATTTTCATATGATTTGAATAATGTGAATTCATAACTGTAAATTTGTTTAAAATTTAATTATATATCAAATTTAAGAGGTCTATCAATTAGTTTAACTTTATCATGGTTACCTCTTCAACAAACAAAAAAATTTAAACCAAATTTAACAAGAAAATGAATTGCTGCATGCTTGGGCAGAAGCTTGATTGCATGGTTTCCGGGAAAACTATCAATAAATAGGGTATTATTCAGGCAAAATCCATCATTAATAGCTGATAATGATGCTTGACATTTTTTGAAATATAATCATGCTATTATCATTAATTAGACAAAGAAACTGACAACCATTGGATAGCATAGACCTATTTATTTTTTAAAAGCGAGAACAAAAATCACATTGCTCCAATTGAAAGTCAAACATGGCTATCCAAAGCAGGGACCGTACCTCCAAAGTGATGACACCACGAAAACGTTCTTCCTCTTGCTTCTTAGTGTATCCAAGCTAATAAAAAACCAAGAATAACACAAATTATTCTCAGACTAAAACAACAATATTTAGCAAACTATAAAAAAATGGAAGGAAAAAGTATTTATGTAATAAATTTCTCACAGCAAGTGTGCAGAGCAACTAACCTTGCCACTCTTTTCATTTAATACAAACCATCGTTTGCTCCAGCCATCTGTCTTTGCACTTTTTTTCAACAGGAATCCTGGAAGTGAATAAAAGCATGATTGGTCCAAAAGAAACAAAAGCTCTACTGATTGAATAAAAGTACATGACTTTAACTAAACACATGTACTACGCATTCGTTCTGTTGATTGGTCCAAAAGGATAGTGATACAAAGCATTCAGCCAATGCTTCAAGGATGGTTCATAGTTACAGATTTTAATAAATGCATTTTAAATATAGGAGTAGCACATCACTATACCATTTTCAAAATTAAAATGTACTTTCAAGCCTCAGTGGTTCAAAATGCCCCAATCGTTCAATGGAATAGATTAAGTATTCAGGAATATGAAGAGTAATGACATTTATTTAACAAACCACTTGTATTTGAGACATCATCAGTTACATAAGGTTACTAAGATGCAGCATATAATCCAAAAACCTTGCAGGATATTTCAATCATCTCAACATTCCGTGCATGAGGATTTGACTGCATTTGCCACCAAAATGCAGAATAAACATGTCATGGCTGTCAAACAATTGGCCCATTATAGAATCATTAAGCCTGCATATGGTGATGCAAATAGAACAGAAGACATTTGGCGACTGCTTGTTCCATGCCATAACATTTTGTGCATGCATCTCTTAAAGTAGGTACTATTAAATAAATCCACAAAACAAAGACCCGTCTAGAACTTATTTGACAATACTTGCAGAGGTGAGTTTAGTGTAAAGGTATATCCAAAATGGTACATGAACGTGAATATTAAGGATAATTCTAAAGCCATTCTTAAGGATTCATGGTATTACAATAATCAATATGGAGAAAAAATTTTGCACTTGAAGTATATAAAAGAACACTAAAATGCTTGCCATAATACATGCAATCTATTCAACAAAGCCATAGGTTTAAAGTGAGAGATAAGCATGCCTGCTGTTATTTCTCCTTCAGGTCCAACAACTTGCAAACTTGATTTTTCTTTTGCGTCTTTATTTTTGTCAGAACTGGATTTATCTTTCATGGACTTCAAGTTGCCACCGGATTGTTGGGAATCTGGTAGAGGACTTGTAGCCTAGCAAAAGATCAACTTTATAACTAACCACTGAAAACACAGTAAACCAGAATTTATATAACTAATTATTTAGCTGAATAGCAGCTAAGCATTTAATGGCAGACTAAGTGCCTAAAACAATGGATGCTTGTCCAAGGATATGAATGGATAGAAGATAGAAGTGCATGCATCCAAGAGGAGGAATACCCACTCTGCCAAATAAAGCTTGCTCAGCATCCTGAACCTTCTTAGAGGATTTAGTTTTCTGTTCTTCTTCACGCCGTTGCCTATCCATCCTGGTCAAATGATACAAAGATCAAAAGATGATTAATGTTGAGAAATCCTCTCAACTATTTGATTAGCTGGCATGCCGCTTTAAAAAAACATTGAACCATTCTATACCAATGAAACATCTCTAGTATATCCGATGCGGATTCTATATAAGCATATACCAAAAGACTTAAAAGCAGAACATCGGTATAGTTTTTTTCTTTTATTTTTTGCACATGGTATACTAGCTAGTATAGACTCAAATGTGAGGAACAACAGTAAACAAAAGTTCACAATGCCTTGAATTGATATGTCAGATAAGGTTAATTCTACCTATAGCAAACAAGATAAAGAAAAGGACAAGTAAATATCTTTAGCCGATCAAACACATGGATATCTTAAAGCTCACAGTAGGCATGCTCTAAATCTTTAACCAACATAGAATTGATGCAATATGAAGCAGCTTAAGTGGCCGTGAAAGGCCCAAAACTAGTAGTGAATAAGCAAACCTTCCTGACACAAGGCAAGGAAGGGGGTTGCCTGAACCAATCCCTGCCCGGTACAGCCTTGCTGGACTAACCGGCCCCCAGAATGGGCAAGACCTGCTGCCCACATATTCCCCCCTTTCCTTTTCAGTTTCCCTCCTATTACCCTTCCTTTTCCATCACTCTCCTTTTCTATTTCTTGTCTATTCTATGTCCTTCCTTTTCTATTTTCTTTCTTATTCTAATACTTACCTATTCTATTTACTAATCTCTATTATATATAGGTGGTGTTTGCTTAGTTTAGAGGTTGTTGATTTGTTTTCTGAATACAGAGCCCGCTGCCGGCATTTTCCCTTCTGAAGGTTGTATCCGAGGATGAGAAGGGGCTCCAATTGTAACTCATCTGAGGTTATAATTATCTCCACTTTTCCGCCGCTTCCTTGCTACCAACGATCATCTCCAGCACTTCCAGGTTGCCGCTGATTCCATCCATCGCTTCTGGTTGCCGCATATCTCATTCGACCCTTCCAAGTTGCCGCAGATTCCATCCAGCACCTCCATGTTGTCGTCGATCTCCTCCTGCACCGCCAACAGTTCGCTACTTCCTTCTTGCGAATTCCAGATTGTTGTGATAACCGCTTGCACTTCAAGATTTCCTCTGTCACCTTCCAGCACTTCTATCCAGCCACAGGCTTCTGTCTGCACCTCCCGCGGGCCGCAACCTCCATTCCTGCCCTCATAGCTAATTGTGGGCACCTCCCTGCCGCATGTTGACTTCTCCAAGATCTCTCAACGACCCATCCGCCACTTCCAACATCTGCTCCACTGCTGCCCTCTGTCTCCAACGCCTCCCGGTGGACATCGACTCCTCCCGGCACATCCAACGTCCGCCAGCCATCTCCAGGCCTTCTGGGTAGCCAGCCGTACCTGTTGCCTTCTCCGACCTCCTTTATTGCAGTCCACCGACACTTGCAGCTCTACTTCGAGCCTCAAGCAATCACCAACACCTGTTGCCCCGTCGACATCATAGCCCCTGCTGCCCTACGTCTTCAACACCCGCACCCGCTGCTCCCTCCACCTACAGTCATCAACCATTCCCTCTCACAACTGACGTCTACGAATACCCTCCCCAAGTCATAGTAGGATCGTGTTAGTCTTATCTTCATTATCTTGTTTTCTTTATTGTTTCGAGTCATGATTGTATCATCCAATATTTTTCTTAATAATATGTCTTTCGTCACCGTAGTTTGATTTAGCTCCGGTATCACTCCCAAGAACTTGTAGCTCTATGAATATCTATAAATAACTTTTGTAACATATAGGACACCTTTTGCATCCTAAAAACCCCACTTGTAGCTCTATGAATATCTATAAATAACTTTTGAAACAACATATAGGACACCTTTTGCATCCTAAAAACCCTAGTCATCTCCAAACGACAAAAAAGTAAATGAGAAACAACTGACAAGTATTCTAGCTATAATATTACTAAGTGATCAGAAAGAAGAAGACTAAATACCTAAAATAAGAAGGCATTAGTCAATATGGAGTTAGCTAATTGCGATAAGATCCCTTGTAATGTCATATTATTTAATAAAAATAACTTTATTTGAAGTTTGTCAATCATATTTCCTTAAGCATCTTTTATTTAATGTATGAACTAAGTTAAACAACAGACAATATTTTGCGATCATAGCTATAACTAATCCTAAAAATTGGCATTTTTTTGCTTAGTTAAGTCGTGCTTATCTTCCTAGTAATTCTAGGGATAAGGATGATTAGGCATAAGATAGAATCCAAGGTCAAACTGGGACTCAGTACCCTCGAATTACACTTCGGCTAATTATTCCACATTTTGTGTTATATATTCTCAATATAGATGTTCTCAAATAATAACAAATTGAATCTTAGGCATTGTCAGCCATCACTGAATGTGAAACCCCCACTCAAAGAATATATCATATTTTGAAATCCAAAACATCATATAACTAACTTGTTGTTAAGTGATCACACAACCACCTCATTTGTTGAAAAAATTTTCAATGTTAATATTTATAGAATCAATGTATGGCAGGAAGCTACAATGCTATCCTCTCACCTTCTCACGAAAAGATGATTCCCTATCCTTCATCTTTGATTGCTTTTTTTCCAAGCTCACAGCTCTTCTACCATCAGACCTTCCATTTTACCCGTCTATATATTCTTTCTCCATTCTACTTCATAAACATGAGGAAAAGAAAAGATTTGATGGACCCATTGTTGGTGTCACTCAATAATGTTCTAATTCACTTTTTGTTGATGTGGCCCAATCCCTTTAATTGTCTTCATCATTATGTTTGCATTTACATTTTATAACCTGCAAAAATTTTCAGATTCAATGCACCTCTTACTCATCTTTTTTCAACTGAGCTAACTAGAAATGGGTAGGTTTACCAACCAGTTGAATTTTAGTATAACCTTGTGGAAACCTTAATGCACCATTCATCACCTGAAGAAGATGTTCTTCATTATGTATGGGGTTGATTGGGAGATCCCCACCAAGCTAAAGCGTGCTCTTAGATCAATGTCGGTGCAATGTCACCGGGACTCAAGGTGAAAAAGGCTATTAAGGAACTAATACTATCTCTTTGGAGGCTAAAACATTTTTTCCCACCTGATCCGACCCCAGGTTATAAGGTTAATCAATATCAGTGAATTTTTTAGAACATTTTTAAGAATTACAAGGGTAATCCCTCTAATGTTTTGTTTTCTTAAATCCACTTTGGACCTGTTATGTTGTTGGCCCTTGAAGGATGCCCTTGAAACTATGGATGTTCTTAAGAAGAAACCCCTGACAAGCATCAAAAGGCCACCACAGAGGTCTCCCACAGGAGGTCCAGGCAACACCGAGCTAATAAAGTTTCTCTCAACTACAAGGAGATGCAAATCAAACAAATCAAATGGACTTGGCCCTCTTATGTTGTTCATAATGGCCTTAGATTATAGCATGCAAAAGCGTAGGAGCACTAAACTCCAAAGATATTTAGCCGATTATGCATGAGGATGTGGACCTGTTGAATGATAAGGAAAAAGTTTGTGTGCGATAGACGTACACAACGCTGCGTGCGATATTGGGGTATACCGATGGTACAAGGGGGTTACATCCACGGTATAAGCCTTTGTAATCTCCCTATAACCTCCCTGTAACTTACGTGTAACCTCTTAATATATGATAACAAAAGCGCAAAACTTATTTTAGGGTATAAATAGGTTACAGAAAGTTACAGGGAGGTTACAATGGGTTATCCGCGGATGTAACCCCTTTGTACCCTCGGTATAACCCAGTAACCTCGGTATAACCCAAATATCGTAAGCAGCGCTGCGTACGTCTATCGCACGCAAATTTTTTCCCTATGGCAGGCCCGGAGCAACATTTAGTTAGAACATACCAAACAAAAAGGGAAAAAAGCAACTATATTCCACAAACAGTGACCACTTACTTTCCGCATCCTTTACAGCACCCACGAGCAAAACTCCAACAAATCACGTCCTAACAAGCATCCATTAACCTCCCAACAATTGATTAGTGGGCACTCCTTGGAGCTTCTACAACAACTAGCATACAATATACTTCCATCTCTCAACAAACATTGCCAGGTGACTCTCCCTCGTGCCTCTGCAATAATTATTAAGCAAGCATGCTTCCGTCTTTTGCTACTTTCGAAATGATAGAAAAAGCATGTAAACCTCTCTTAATAGCAACCTCCTCATTCCATATAATATCACGCATCTCCAAAAATACCATTTCTAAAAATGCAGTGAGGGATTTAGCCTCTTGAGAACCATAGTTGCATATAAGAGAGTCATCTAAAGAGACGTCTAGGCAGAGCACTGACATAACTGACACCGTTCTAGAGTTAAGGTGAGATAGAACACAAAAATGTTTAAGGAACATCGTAGGATTAATGCCAGGAGTGAGATGATGGATGGCGGCTGATAATTGGTGTGAACGGACATGGTACGGCATCCCAGAAGAGGAAAACAAAGGTTGGTTCCTACTGTAAACAATTGGAGGAAAGCGGAGTCGACAATTGTTCCGCTAAAAACAGCAGATTAATGGTTAATCGGCAAGGTGCGGACGACGTGGGGGATCCACCAACCATTTCTCAGCAAGCTACAGGCACACCACTTGCGCAAGGAACAGGCCGCACACTCCGGAGAGGAAGAAAATAGAGAATAACTCTCAAAATACGTAAGACATGCTAAACCAAATTCAAACCCATAATACAAAACATATAAAGGTCAGCTAAGAGAGAATAACCTAATTAGAAACTATAAATATAGGAAAGGATAAGAAAGGAAATGAGCAAAAGAAGAAACTTGCATAAAAAAGGAAAGGAAATAAAATAAAATAATGAAAGGGTGTTGGTTCGATTGTATGGTTAAGTGGACTCCCATGATCGTGGAAGACGATACCCTGGGATCACATTATCATGGGAAACCGCATCCCGCGTTACTCTAGCAGAGTATGAGGAGTTTCGTCCTCGCCTCCAGAGATATCC